TGGAAGACTCAATACATTCCTATGTCATGTTTAAAGACTGACAAAGCATTTGATAAGTATGTTCCTTAATAGTAGACTTAATGCATTTTGCTTGTTTTGCTACGGATTAAATATGGGCCAATTATAGGTGACATTCACCCCTACTTTGATTCACTTGAAGGGTCAGGTTTGTGGGAACCATGACTTAATTTTCCCCTAGGATCTATTTTTGCCCCTTCATCCATAGATGACAGTTTGGTAATGGATCATTATAGTAATGGGAGTATAGCTGGGAGTCATGTCTTCTTTATCTCTGAAAAACACACACAAAAAAACACCTAAATCCTTGGTCTAGTGTAAGGACTTCTAAGATCTGGCTCTGGCAGTTGCTGTTCCTTCACCCCAGGAGAGTGGAGGCAGTAGTATTGGGTAGAGGTTCGGAGGGATTCTCAAGTTAGATGGTCTCACTCTGAACCTTATGTTGCATGACTTTATGAGCTGACACAGGATGTTCAACATGCCTCAGCCTCAGTTTCTCTTCAGTTAAGCAGAAATAGTAATAACTTGTTGGACTATTTTAAGGATTAAATAAAATAATAAATTTAATGTATTTAAAAGTTTGCCTCGAGCATGCTAAACACTCGATACATACTAGTAAATACTGCCCATCGGTGTTTCTCAACAGGGGTCAATTTTGCCCCCTGGGGCATGTGGCAATGTCTGGAGACATTTTGGGAGTCCTGACTGGGACTAGGGAGTGTCTGCTAATGGCATCTATTGGGCAGAAGCCAGAGATATTATTAAATATTCTGCAAAGCACAGACCAACCCCTACAACAAAGAATTATGTGGTTCAAAATGCAAATAGTATAGAGGTGGATAAACCCTTTGTACACCAGTGCTCTCTATTCACCGTCATTTTACTTAACCTGTAATCCTACTGGCAGTGAAAATAAGGGATTAGCTGGAGGGACCTGTCTCTTTGTGAAGATTATACAGTGCCCAAGAGAATAGGCTATTTGGACAGGATTATATATTGCTGAGGTAGGTGTCATTTTAATGCTCAGGGTTGAGATCAGTGAAGTGTAGAGTAGCATGCCTTCAATGCCCAACATTTCTAATGCTAGGACTTTATACCAGGAAAATGGCCAGGGTGGTCTATAAGACATTATGTATAAGACAGTTAATTATAGGCTAACTTACAGCAGTGAAAATTGAAGCTAACCCAACAATAAGGGATTATTTAAATAAATTATGGTATAACCTTAGAATTAAATGGCAGGTTATCAATAGAAATTATGCTGTAGAAAAAAATTTAATTTAATTGAAAATGTCCAGTATAGAAAGTGGAAAACACAGGTTATAATATAGTATTTAGAATGTCAGCCTTATTTTATAAAGGAAAAAATAAGTGTGTCTAGCTACCCAAATGTGAAGAATAAGTACATAAGTGCTACATGGAAGGAGAAAAAAGAATAATAATATGCCACAGGACCTAATTCCAAAGTGAGCTGAGGTCTGGTCTGGCTTCTGGGTTCGGGTATGACTGCTCTAAGGGGACACAAACCCCTAGGTCTATCCCTACGTACCTGGCATCATGCTAAAGCCATGTACTGACCTTTTCATGTGCATTGTGTTCCTTTTGACTAAGGAAGGTACTTTTAGAAACTCTTTAATTGTAAAGAACTGGAATTGCAACCAAGGACCTTGTTGTTGTTTTTTTCCCCTTACAATGATAATTATGAATTCGGTGTTTAATTATTAAGATTTTAGGATATTTCATGGGTATCTTATAATTCTTGTCAAGGGAACAAAGAAAGGAACCGAGGAAACCACCTTACTTTGGTTAACATAACACATTTATGTTTACTAATGAAATCTGTTTACCTTCATAAATGTATAATAGGGCCATTAAAGACAATAGATACTGTAGTTTAAAAGTAATAAAATTTACAACAAAGTGTATTTAATTTGAAATTGAATTGCTGGCAAATGGGTGTCCTAATGAACCCTTGTGTCAATGTAGCTCTAACCAAATTAAGGAAAATCATTTCTATTACAGGAAACTAAATCAGCTGTAAGACCCAAAAAGGCCATTCCTCTGGTGGCGGTATAGTCATTGTCACAGATGGCCCTGCTTATGGAATTAAGCTCAGGCCAGGAGAGTGGATACAAGATCCTTCTTAATTCAAATGAATTTGGGAAAGTGGGCGAATGCTTTTAGGTCTTGTGAGGATGAAAAACAAAACAAAACTAAAATAGAAACAAACGAACAAACCTGGAACATTGTAAATGTAGAAATAGATCTTGATCTCTGGCTGCTGCTTTCAAAAAGGAAAAGTTTACATCATATCAGCTATTCATCTTGTTAAATGTTTTTTTTCCCCTAGAGTTTCTCTATCAGTTTATAAAATTGAAGGGGTGCAGTAGAAATTGAAGTGGCAGCAAGTCTTAGTAAAATTTGGTTTTCTGCTAATTTCTGAAACAAGCTATATTTAAATTGTTGTGAGATCAGTAGCTAATATAGTGAGTCCTGTATTTTACAGGGGCACATTTCAAAAGCTGCTTACCTCCCGAATTTAATCAACTGCAGCAACTGTAAGGTGGCATTTACCTAATTCCCAGTGAATCTGACAAAACATTTAAGGGAAACATCAAATCGTGTTGTGGTTCTAAAGGCAAGCCTTTTCATATATACCCCATAGTTAATTTCTCTTTCTTTTATCTTCCTTCATATAACTTCCGCAGAGCTCCAAGTCAGCTATTAATTGCAGACCTAAATATTTGTGCAGCCAAGCTTGGTCCTGCCACAGGAGCTCCCGAATGGAGTGGCAGGAGCAGCAGGACCTTGCTGGGAGGTAGGACTCTTGTGACTTTCCTTTTCTCTGATGCAAAATGTTAAATGATGAGGTCAGTGGTATTGACACTTTCCTGCTGTGCTTTCCTTCCTGGAGGGCCCTTTAGAGAAACCGATTTTTAGCAGATCTTAAATATGTTTTAGCAGAATTCTATGCTAAAGTGGAATGGCTAAAACTCTCAGTTGCAAAACGATTGGGATGCCTCAAAACTGTGTCCATTATACCAGGCTGGGTTCTTACTAGACAATGAGGCAGGCCTGCCACCATGCAAATTAGCCAAGGCTTGAGGTTTGATGAATCTTCTATCTCCTCTTCTTAGTTGTCTGACACTTGCTTTGAGGAAGGTTGTAAATGCAGGAGAGATTGTAGTATAATTCCTCAGACTGGCGTTTGTGCCCCCCAGTCACTATTCGATTATCTTCCAAATTGCTGTGTTTCAGAGAGATAAAGATTTTTTATGGCTTGCTGACTTGAAACAACCACAAGAGCCAGCAAAGAGATGGCTAAGCGGCCACGCATAGTAATTCCATTGGTAAATGACAAAATCTTTGTTTGTGTGACATTTCCAAAATTACCACAGAAGATGAATCTAAAATACAAAATGTCACATTTGGCATGCAAAACTATCACAATATATTTCAGTATAAAATTCATAGAGGCGTTTAATTTAGAATGTGTTTAATAACTTAGTCTGCCTGCATCAGTAATCCTGCCTTGAGGTTTAAAGAGATTGTCTTATTTATTCACATGGTGTTAATTTTAAAAATATTGTTGGAAACCAAAATATTAAGGTTAAGTCTTTATTGTTAATTAAGATTTTCTAATTAAAGCAAAAATAATTGTTATTCTGATTAGTTTTTAAGTATGACTTGTATGAAAAAAAAAGAAGTTTAACAACTTTCACTGTTTATTTAACTGTGATTTGATTCCAGAAGTGTACCATCCATATGGAAATATATATTAACTTTCACAAAATAAAGTCTAGGTAGGACTAAAAAGTGCATACTGTTGTCTGTAGATTAATGAGTGGTAGCCTAGAGAATAACCTGCTTCCAAAAATGACTTTTTTTTTTTTTTTTGCTTAAAGCACAATGTAATAGAGAATTCTTCAAAGTCAAATTATTCTGAAGACTATTAGGGACTTGTGAGTATAGAAAACATGACTTAATGACATTTGAGTTATTAATGATCCCAGTTTAATTTTTGTTTAATCTGAAACAATAGTCCATTAAAATTCTTATCAATTTGTATAAACTTTTAGCACTTATTAGAAGTGAAAATGGCCTATTTCTCTTGCTGAAAGTAAGCAACGCAATTCAAATGTCCTGAAAAATATGCTTGAGTCATGTTCTTCATGTAATTTATTTTATTTTTTAAAGTGTTTATTGATTTTAGAGAGCGAGAGGAACATCCATGATGAGAGAGAATCATGGACCGGCTGCCTCCTGCATGCCCCCTACTAGGGATGGAGCCCACAACCCGGGCATGTGCCCTTGCCCAGGAATCGAACCCATGACCTCTTGGTTCATAGGTTGACGCTCAACCACTGAGCCACGCTGGCCGGGCTACATGTATTTAGCTTGAGTTTTAGATTGAAGCACACACCAATGCTACGCACCCCACCTTATGTTCTGACTCTCTTCTGAAGCATATGGGCCCAGCTGACCTCACACTTACATCAAATCAGAGGACTCGGTCTGGTGAGGCCTTAGTCTGACCTGTTTTGCACTTGACTCATCATCATGGCGTTTGGTCTGTGATTAGTGTTAGAGGAAAGGGCTGTCACCTTTCAAACTCAGCATTTGAAGCTTACTACTCATGTTCACCCATCCCAGATATTTTAGGCGTGCTGTGTGGTTTTTCAGAAGTGTTGGTTTCCTGTTAATTCTTTCTTATTATAATAGAGGAATGGTTTCTGATGTCACAGATCGTTAACATACCGTGCTTAAAAATTGGCGAAACTTTCCCTCGCATAATCGGCAGGTTTGCCTTTTGACCCCCTAATTATATATTGCGTGTCCTCCTCTGTTATCATTGCTAATACCTTACAATTACATGTTGAGTAAAAATAATTGTCTACTTTTTCCCTCTGAGAAAAGCATGTGGCTAATTGTGTGGTTTTACCCAGTTCCTGTGTAATTCAAGAACCCTGTTTTTTCTTTAGATTTAACAGTCTCCATCTCCTCAGCCTCTTCGAATACAGATGAAATTCATAAGAGGCTTGAAGAACAAGGCTCCCCAAGGCTCTTACCTCCTCAAAGTGTCCCTGCTTAGTCAACCAGGCAGCTGTATCGTGCAGTGGTAACAGAGCAACTGAAGACTAGAACCTACCCAGTGAGGCAAGATGGAAACTTTTGTGATGTGGGCTTATTTCCATGAAAACATTTATGTGGTAAGTTGGTCTTTTTGGACACCTATCACTTTTTATTTAGCTCCCCTGCTCTCCCTATCTGCCTTTTCATCCCTATCCACATGGCTTCCTCCCTCCCTCCCCTCCCTCCCTCCTTTCCTTCCTTCCTTCCCTCTTCTATATGTGACACAGCACCAGAGTTAAGTTAGGGTTTTTCAAAATGCTGACACGCCGAGCTCAAACGGTTCGCCATCACTGTGCTAAGGGATCACTAATATGTGTATTTTGAATGTAATATGTGTATATTGTATGTAACATGTGTATTTTGACTTACGTATTTTTTGTGTATTTTGCCTGTGTGTAGGCAGTCAGGGACACTGATTTTAGGTGAGAATTGAACTTTAGGTAAGAAGAGATGTTGGAGGGATTGTTCAGAAATTGCATTATGAATGTAGGATAGTGTGCTTACCATGCAAAGGGATTGGAGAAGATACTGTGTTGTGGGAGGGAGGACGCAGTGGGAAATCTCAGAAAGTTGTTCTGAATGCAGAGATAGAAAGTAGAGGTAGGAGATCTCTACCTGTGGAAGTAGACAGGGAGAGCGCAGCTTTCTGTGGGACATCAGCGCTGGACAGACTGTGTCTTCCAGGGAACGCCAGCTCAAGGAAAATAAAGACTGGGGCAGGGTTAGTCTCAGAGGCCTTATTGCATGCAGCTGCATTGAACACTGGGCATGAGCATAGACTGTTTATAAATATAGAATCACCTTTCACACATTAATTTGAATGACTAAAACAAGCATTTTACGAATCCACATAAGTATCAGAGTGATTTTGAAGAAGAAAATAATTTCCCTCTAAATTAGATAGGAGTGTGCTTTCCCCATTTCCCCTTAGGTCTTGTGTTAAAAGGTATTTTAATTGATTTTATTATGTGGTATTTCATTAAGGGTTGCAATATATCATTCACACACATAAATATGTTCCTCAGATATGTATTGCATTTATTCTGGCCACTGAATGACCAGTTGAGATTTAACTGGAAAGTGTGGCTGTAAAAGAAATGTAAAGTAGGTTTAAAAACTACAAACCTAGGATGTCCTTATTTACCTCCAATGCTTGAGAAAACACACACACAGATTTTCCTCTCTATTTTTCACCACCTTTGCTTTTTAGATATCTAAGACCTTTTGAGGACAGTGACATGCCCCCCGCCCCCCCAAAAAAAATCCATGTTGTTTAGAAGTTGACAGGAGTTAAAAACAAAAACAGCCTGTAGTTGGTAGCCATGTACTAAACAGACATTTAGTGAAGGGTGCAGCTTAATCCTAAACTGTATCCACTGCCAACATCGCACGTAGTTTGTTGAATCGGTAGTGATGGTGGTGACTCCAGAAGCCCTTTTGAAACAAGACTTGAACTCTTCCTGTGCAAAAAGAAAAGGTATCCTTGGCTGACAAGAATCACTGAGGAACCAAGCCCCATTGGCCCATCTGTGAAATGGGGATAATAGCTGCCTACCAGTGGCTTTGTAAGGAATGACTGAGATAATACTTGTGGAAATGCACAGTACTGATACATGGTAAGAATTCAGAAGTTTCTTTTATTATTACTGTTATAATTATTCTGTCTCTTTGACAGTGAAGCCCATAAATTCTTACCCAGTGGACTTTCATTTTAATATATATGGCAAATGCTCATATTTCAGATAACTTTTGAATTAACCTTGCTTGAGAACAATGTAGGTTAACAATTTTCCCTTCTAATGAGTCATCCCAAAGGCCTTGTTAAAGAGTTGTGAGATACATGTGAGAGGGACTAGGAAGTGGTGGGTATGGAGAGGACATTTCCCCTGGGGAGCCCATTGCCTCTACGGAGCCAGCCATTGAGAACAGGTACCAAGGGGCCAGTAGGCATAGTTCAGCCCCTGAGCTGAGGTCTTGGTTCTCACCATTTACCTCAGAGAAATTTCAGGAATGTGGTGTTAGCTAAGATTTTAGTTAATAATTTTTAAAAGGGTCCAATCAGTACTAAATAGGCAATATATTTTTAATGCATTTTAATTAAATGCCTAAAATTTTAAAGCATGGGAAGCTAGACCACAAAAAATATTATTCAAAGAAGTTTCTTTCTAGAATCAACTGCATAAATATCTGTTTTACATCAAAAAATGATATAAGTATTTTTCTTATTGTTATTATTGATTTAGCTGCCCATACCTGTTTCCGCCCAGAAGAGTGTGAACTCTGAGTGCAGAAGCCACATTTCTGTTGTATTTGCTTTGAGGATATTTCATGCCTGCTGTTAACTCTTCCTAACAGAATGTACTATAGATCCAATGCCAGGAGGACGAAAAGGTCCATTCAGGGAGAAGGGGAAAATCATTAAGAAACTGAGGTTGCAAAACTGTTTGCCATGTTAACAGATGAT